CCTGCGCTGCAGGTAGTTCACTCTTTCGCCACATCCACCGCATTCCGATCGCAAGATAAAGTCAGCCTTAATGGAGGGGAACGAGGACTCAGTGACTGGCAAGTCCAAATAACTCGAAGATGCGCATCACACACACAAGTTGATCCTAAATTCTAAAAGGAATGAACTTTCTCCAGAAGGGAGGAGACTCAGATATCACGTGAAAATGAGAATCATGAGTATTGAAGTTAGAAGAAGTACTAGCAATCAAGCCCTTGTGCCTGAATTCCTTCGGTTTGCAACAGTCTCAATCATGATTGAAAAACGTTTTGCTTGTTTCAGTGCGCAGTCGGTTGTTTACAGTAAGCAGTACAAGCATCGGGTTGAAGTGACTGCAAGCTCCCTCTTCACTCACAATACACCAGTAGCCGGTTCGAGTCAGGTACAGTGGCTGACGGGACGTGAGCAAATTTCCTCGTGTCTAATACGCTCTCCACTGGATAGTATGGAAGTAAAATGTAGCATAACCACCACTTCGGGAAGGACCAGTATAGTGTGATCTAATCGACGAAATACTACCGAGTTATTTTGCCCACTAGGAGCCTTTTCCATCACGACTTTTGACAGTTTATGGTGTGTTTGAGTGCTGTAGTGCGCAAGGCGCTGATCTACCTTGAATGGTCATTATATATTAGCTTATCACAGATGATGGTTGTCCAATCTAAATGTTAGATCTGCAAACAAATATAAAATTTTTATTATTTGTTTGTGCACCGATCTATTCCTCAGGATGTGCCCATCCTGGGTTAATGCTTTTGCGAGTCGGATCAACCGATTGTGTTCGGCAAAGCTACTAATAATCGATATGTTACTAGCCAACTGTCAGCTATCCTACGGTATTGCCAATGTCTATGCCGGAATACTACTATAAAAACATAAAAATTTTAGTACATATGTGTACACCGATCATATACGCAGGTTCAAATCTCGAGTGTGGCGGCAATTTCCGCGGCTACACTGGAGT